ACGAGCAAGAAAGAATCGTGCTAAAAATACTTTTAGTGAAGCAGAAAAAACATTCTTATTTGTCAATGGAAAGGGAAAAAAACAAAACAAAGCAAAAGCAATCAAAGGGCTCTTGGAGCCAGCTCATTCATATCATGGCTTAAGTTTGTATCGATTTCTTGGACTTGCTGAATATAGGTACAGTTGAATTCAGTTTATGTGATTTTTTAAGACTTATAGAATAAATTTCTTTTATTTTGGGGGCAGTTGTGTGATAAGAAAACGTGTGCATTCTTCGCGATGGGAATTGGAAAAAAGCCGTTGTGTGGGCTGGAGGTGGGATGAGTAGAGGTCATTAGGCAGACAGTGTCCTTTTTGTTGGTGTGTGTATGTGTTTGTGGGGCGGCGGGTGGGCCGGTAGTCATAATCAGGTATCAAATGTTGCTCTAACAGCAAGACATTAGTAGCCCTCATCTTTCACCATCATTTGCACTATTATGAAATATTCCTTGCCCGATTTATGATATCTCTTGTTTTTAACAAAGTGGTCACTGCATTTGATTTTAAACAAAGCGGCCAAAATCGTTCTTAATAGAATTTCAAGCCTTCATGCAGTCTGATTTTCGCATATTAATATTTGCGTAGTCACCAAACAGATGAGGGATAAAACTACCGGAAAAGTAAACAAATGACCAGTCACGAAAGCAACGCTTCGCTTTTCTATATAGAAATTAGGTGTGAACATTTCGGCTACTCGATACAAGTTGTATTTGTAGTAGTTCGGAAACGTGATTTGAGGTTATTATTTTTATTAAACCATACAAACATTTTATTTCTTTCCATGTGAGTTTTTGAGCTTCATCGAAATTAATTTTGACTTTCACTAAGTGGGGGCGGGGAGTAACACGCGAGACTACTTCCCTTCACGGTCCACAATGCAACTTCCGTCTACGGAATACAACTTCCGTCCACAATCGACAACTTCCGTCAACATCTGCTTCACCACAATATCTCATTCGTTGCTTCCAGCATGAATGAGCTAGAAAGGAAGAGCATTGGGGAAAACGATCCCCGGAAACGGGAGCTTTTCGTCCAAACGGAAAGGTTGGAATCAGAGTGTTGAATTCCAATTAAGGAGATTCACGTCTTTCACCACTTTTTAATGTCCAGTCCTTACGGAGAGAGGAGAAATAGCGCTTTATATATATCTTAGAAAAAAATATACGTCTTCGAAATCATAAGAACTCTACCTCAAGCGTGCAAAGAGTGGGTTGATTTTCAGCCCACATGACACATATGCTCCGGACTTATGTTTGCTTATTTTGATAAGCTGAACGAGTTCCGAGAATGCCAGAGCAAAGATTGCATTACATCTTAACTTGCCTAATTATTGACGAGCTAATTTTTATCGTCCTCTCCTAACTTATATTTTAACACAACACGTGACGCTTTCATGAATTACTATTTTGCTTCTTCTCGAGACGTGAGCTTGGGCTGCCTGTGTAGATAGAGGACTGTCATTGATCTTTCTCTAGTCACTTCGTCATCGTTCTGTTAATTTTAGTTTAAATTAAAAATATGACCAGTCCCACATAGTCACCTTTTCTCCAGACTACCTCGCAATGTGTTATTTGAAGGCTAATTCGCCCAACATTTTTAAAGGAAAAGTTATGATTTGGAATTAATAAACAAGACAGGAGCGTTGAGTCACGATGTGCGTGGTAGATTTGCGGCTGGAAAGGGTGGCTAATGTTTTAATTACCGGATTTAACATAGTAATCCTTGACAAAAAAACCGAAATTATCTGAACGTTCGACTCCCACGTCTCGAAATATGATACTTTTTGTAGGTTGGAGTATAAAACCAGTAATTCAAGGCAGTTTCAACGGTACTTTCCCGGAGCTCGAAGGACAGTCAAGGTAAGTGCCCGGCTCACACGCGGCAATTGATCATAAGTTTCATATCTCTTTACACTAACCCTGAATCCCACTCTACAGAGCTGAACAAAATCTTTCCTCTAAAACTTATTCTAGGCTTTTTTCGCTCTAAGAATTCGTCAGTTCTTACCTGGTTCGTATTTTGTTTTTAAGTCTGTGGTATGAGACCTAACATGGAATCATAAGAATTAACATGGTGGCATGCCACGCATCTTTTAGCCTGGTTTGCGTTGTTTACCAAGTATTTGACAACGAAAGAGAAAATTGGGGTCCGTGTTTTTCTGAACATTAATGCACTTATCAGGCATCTCGCGTGACATACCTTTCCATAAATGGGTATTTTAATAGACGATTAAGACGTCTCAATCTTTTGAGTAAGAACAAGAATATGAAAAAAAAAAATGGCCGTCGAAGCTTATTAATGGACGATCAAGACGTCTTAATCTGTTGAGTAAGAACGAGAAGATGAAAGAAGAAAATTGCCGTCGAAGCTAATTACAAACCGACAAGGGCGACAATACCCGTCAAAACTACATTTGGGTACACTTGATAGCCAGTCAGCTTTTTCTTTAGGGCTTTTTACAGCAAATATTCCCTACGCTAATGATTGTCAAAGTTGTAGTTTTTTGCTGTTTTCTTTTGATGATATTCTGCTGAGTTTTTCTGGAAGACTAGCTACCACAATAAGCAAGTTAACAAAAGTCACGGTGTAGGATTTCTTAAACTCCTACTGCTGCCAGTACAAAAGCTAAATTCATGTACAATTAGCGCCCAAACTTGTCTGTGTTTCTAGACTACATAGGCTGTCCAAAGCTTATTTCTCAATTGACACAGAGTAAATGTTAACTCGAAAAATCAAAAATAGAACAAGAAGATATAAAAAATATCGGTAATGTAGCTGCATGGTATTCTTAAAAAAGAAAGGTATCAAACTGAGCGAATATAATCTATTTACTATAATCAACTTAGCTCACCATAATCATGTTATTAGAGTCAACTAAGTTTGACACTCTTCCGATTCTGTTTTTTTTTTTCTTTTAATCAATCAACAATTCAATTAAATCACCTCAAACTTGGCAAGAGGTACACCCAAGCAACTGCCTACAACATGACATTTTTTGAGTAAACATATTTTAACAAGTTACTGTGAAGGGCTATTCTGAGGGTCAAATTGGGCCCCCCCCCCCCCTCCACTTTTTTGTCATTTCCTTTTAAAATAATCACCTAATTTTTGGTAATGATAAAGCATTATCAAATGGGCTGCAACCTTATTGAGAGCTATTCCCTTTTGACCATTTTGGTTGTCATGGTAACCAATTAGATTTTGCAAAAGACAAATTACTTATAAAATCAGTTGTATTTCAGAAAAATAAATTTTACTCGATTACATTGCAGATAATTACAAAAACAATCTTTGTACCAAATTTGGTGTCAGTAGCTGAAATACTCTTCAAGAAATTTGAGGGGCCGACAAAATTACCCCGAAAAAAGCTATTTTCGGAAAAATGCAATTAAAACTTCAGTTTTTTCTAAATGTCATCTGTAAGACTAAAGACTCCATAAAATGGCCTTTTGTACATCACAGCACACCTACTTGAAGGTATGCTTAGGTTCTTTGGTTCTCTCTCTTTTAACCCACTCTGCAGAGCTGTGTTTTGTCAAAGTCTCCAGCTTCAAATTATGCCTTCCACAGGTTAAACAGAGGTCTTCTTCTCTCTGCTAAGCTTGTCTTCGTGCAAGTCTATATTGTTTGTGTTTTTCTTGAGCTCTGTGCTATGCTTGCTGAATTCTTCCACTGTTTCTTTGTCTTACTTCCTTCTACCTGTGCCTGCTCAGTTCTTTTGTAGCTGTTTGCTTCTTTCCTCTTGGAAGGCTTGACTAAGGGCGTCTTCATGGCTGGCATATTGTACACCTCACAAAATTTGGCAACTTCTTCTCTCCCATTCCCACTCTCAAATACAGCAAACTCCATTCTTCTGTTCACATCTTTTCCCTTAAGAGCTCTAGGATAACATCATCTTGAGGGTGGCTACCAGTTGCAAGAAACTCAGAGTGCCCCAACCACTGCACTTGACATAAAGTGAGCTACCAATTCCAAACTGGTAACAGGAACTCTTCAATATCTGTATTTGGCCTAGTAGATCCATAAAGACAATCAACGCTTTTATTAATAAAGGGATATAACTGTAGTAATTTTGGTCCAGCATTGATCCAGAAAAACAGCTTTTATATCTTAGTTCAAAGGCCTTAAAATTTAACTCACGTAACTCTTAACTAAATTACGTGGAGTTTATTCGTAAATTCTCTTCACAAATTTAAGAAGACTGTCCATTGAAACAAGTCTGTATACTTTCGGCAGGCGCCAGATGATCTTCAATACGTTCATTCGAGGAGCTTTCATCGTCGTTTGGCTGTATTTTCCGTTTGGAAGCAGATTCTGCGAGGGGCAGAATTTGGTTGTGTCCTCGTGTACCGGTACACAAAGGAACGAAACATTAACGAACTGCGTCACAACTCCATGTATGGATATGAAAACAATAGGAATTCCCCCGTGTACCGGTACACCAGGACAGCCCCAGACCCCAGAATTTGCTCGCTGACAACATCATCTTCTCTAACGAAGGTGACCTCTACAGCTCGCGTTTCTTTCCTTCTCTTCTGCGCTACTTCCTGCTTCTGGGTTCCTTTAAAACCTTTCTTTCTTTTTAAAGCATAATTCCTTAAAAGAGACTGTTTTTTCCCCAACTTTTGGCACGGTTTACGGGCAAGAAGACAAGATGGACACTCACGCTCGATCTGTGAAGATTGAGTGCTTTGTAACCGGGCTTCATATTGGTGGAAATTTTAACTTAAGAATGTGGGGCTGGACTTAAGGGTCTCAGGATCGAATGGACTTAGTTTTAGTACCATTTTGGAGAAATGAAACGTGCCAAAACGATTGGCTTACCTGTGGTTGTCATGGCAACCAAAAACAAGCAACCTACTGGCTTTCAAAGGGGCTGTTTTTAGCGGTGCATGAATAAAAAAGCTAAAAAACATATATAATCTGAAACATTATCTGAGAATCATTTAAGAGGAAATAAAAAAAAAAGTGAAATTTTCAATTTTTATTCAAAACCAACCTCTATGCCCCCTTAAGAATGCTACGTTTTTTCTTTATTACGCGAGCAATCTTCCTTACAGGCTATTTGAACAAGACTCACATTTACTCGCCAACGTGTACTGATGGGAATCAATACTTGGCCGGATGATGCCTCTAAACCTTTTCTGGTGGTCCTTATAGTGATGAGCGGTCTCTTGAATCTCCCTCAAGCCGCGGGCATGAACTGCAACACTAAACTGACTAGTAAGTAGCAGAGGTATTTTGAGTTTTTCTCGAACTGGCAATCTATCTTTTTAAGTTCAGAATGGCCCCTAACAAATTCTCTATGTAACATATGTTTAATGGACCATCTTTCTCCCTCCTCCAGTAATACCTGATGTAGAGATTTCCATAAATCCACCAAGGCAAGAATTATCCGTAGGTACAGCGGTAAACCTGACCTGTACGGCGCAGCCCAGAAGTATTGATGCAGGATATTACGATCGATGGACCGAGTATATTCAGTGGTACGATCCACAGGACAAGCCAGCTGGATACAGATGTGTACAGGGTAGACACATGGTGTTAAAACATAGATGCACATTAATGATCGAAAAACTGACGGCAGATCAACTTGGAAGCTACACGTGTGAAGCAGGAAATGGTTATCGTGCCCACTGCAGGAGAGAATCAGTCGAAATTCGTCCTGAAGGTAAACAACAAAGCAGGAAAAAGATACATGAAAAATATTTGAATAAGACGGGTCGAGAAAAAAAGATAGAAAAGAAACAACTCTATCCGCAGTCCATCATGTCATGTCAACATGAGATTTTTATTATTAGCTGTCAGTTTCTTAGTTGTTATTAAAAATTACCTTCTCCTCTACCCTTGGGTTGGTCTCTCTAAGCCACAAAATTTTAATTCTTATATTAATGGAATATTGTAAAAAATATATGGCTACATAAAATTTGATGGAAAATAACTCAAGAGGACATTTTCGCTCTTGATCTCAGTGTCTAATGACTAAATGTCTGACCTTTTCTTACGTATTATGCAAGCTGTTGACGATACAACAGAACGAGTGATAGAGGGTCTAGATGCCTACCTTCACTTCAATCAACCCTTAAAAACCTTCAATGCCACTTTTCTTTAAGTATTTTTGTTCTCACAAAAATAAACTTTAACGACTGTCTCACTTTTGTTCTGCAGGAGCTCAAAACATTCAAATTATTGAATATCCAAAGAACCAAAGTGCTTTTATCAATTCCAGCGTAACTTTCAATTGCACTGCCACCGGTCATCCCAGGCCAACCATCTCTTGGGTGAAGAACGATGATCCACATGCTTTACAAACCAACGCAAGGGTAGAGGAGAAGGTTATTTTGGTAGACAACAAAACCGTTCGCAGTCAGCTCTTGTTAAAAGGAACTAAGATGGAAGACATTGGCAAATACAACTGCGTGGCTAATAACAGCGCTGGAGAAAGGGTATCAAGAGTGTCTTTCTTACTCAAAGAGGATTTAGGTAAGAGGCATTCATTTTTTGCGCCCAAAAAGGACAATTTATTCTTAAAAACTGTGCAGATGTTTTATCCGAAAAGCTTTGTAGCTATGTCTCGTCAAAAGGAAGGTTATGAAACAAAATTAGCTTCAACCTGAAGTGACGAACAGAATATTAGTATGGTGAAATGGAAAAAAAATCACCGTACAAAATGAAAAGAAAAGACGAAAAATTGAAGAGGAAGGCAAAAAAGGACGTGGAAGGGAAATTTAATGACAGCAACAACTTATGATCCTTCCTGCTTTAAAATATGAGAAATAACTGTTGATTTGTAACTTGCCAAGTACCTTTGGAAATAGGTAGGACTCGTTTCCAGCTTTTTAATTGCCTTAAGCCACTCCTTAGGCGTGTCTTCCTTCCTTCTAGTCTATTTGCAAGAGAGTTTGCGAAGCTGCAGCTATCATAGCAACAATAATTGCCTCACTGTCATTCCTCAGACCTCCAACCGGTTCAAAATGTGGAAGATCCCACGAACCAAAGCGCTGTTGTCAGTTTTACTGTAACTTTTATCTGCACCGCCAAGATTCATCCCAAGCCAAGCATCTCATGTGAAGGGGGCAATGATCGCCATTCAACGCAATCCACCCCAGGGACCAACTTCCACCCATCAGGCACTCAAACTGTAACTCAAGTTGTTGAAGATCGGTGGAATCTAAGTGTTGTCATCGGTTCTGACGTTACTTTGAATTGTATTACCACTGGTCATCCTCAGTCAACCGTCAGGTGGATCAAGAACAAAAATTCATCTGATGTCCAATCTACTTCAAAGACAATGATCACTCGAGATCGACGTGACCAAACCACTCATTTCCAACTGTTTATAGAAAAAGTGAAGAAGGAGGATGGGGGCAAATATCAGTGTGCTGCAAGTAACATAGCAGGGGAAAAAGCATCAATCGAGGTCAACTTACATGTCAATGATTTAGGTAATAAAATCATGGATTTAGCTTTTGTGCGATTTAGCTTTTGTGCCTTCTGTATTTAAACTAATGTTTCGACACAGACATCAACATTCTACAAAGTTTGATCAAATAGATGCATTAAGAGTAAGTACAAAAGAAAAATAGGCTCAATTCTGACAGCAACGTCGATAGTCTCAAGCACTTCTAGAGTCTGTCTTAATTATGTTCATTGTGTCTGACCACCATGGTTACTTCCCTACATAAACTAATATCTAATAACTCTCTGTTCCTGTGAAAACTTATCAAATTGCTAGAAGGACGTCCCCTGTGCCTGAGATGGGCAGAATTTCCTGATAAGTAGTTGGTGATTTAAAGAGAGCTGAAAAGAAGCAAAGTAATTGAATTTTTGTAGAATTGATAGCTTTGTTATAAGCAGATTATTTTCCTTTTCCAGATCTGAAATCTGAATCGCGAACACTGGCAAGAAGGACTGGATTGTCAACTTTTCAGCTGACTGCGATCGCTTTCGTGGTATCTGCATCTGTTTTTGCAGTTGGTGCATTTTTGTGGGATCGACGTCTTTTAAAGGTATTTTCAAAAACTCTGATTCCCCATTTATATGAAAAGGGCTCGTCACGCAGTTTGATGCTCCAGCCCCTGAAAGTCTATTGGCTTCAAACAGAAATAACTGTAATTACACATAATTAGATGACGCTTTTTGCTTCCTTTAGTAAGCATGTGCCTTCAACCATCTAAATCACTGCTAGTCTCTTTACTTTTTATTTAACTACTTCCTATTTGCCTCTCATAGATCAGCAAGTCCATATCCATGAGCCTCCTCCGAAAGTCAGAGAGACAATCATTGGTCTAATTGTACTGGCAAGCGAGGGGTGCGGCTACCGCCTCTCTGTTAGGAGAAAGAAAAGGAAATCCAGCCTGGCACGAATAAAACAACTCTGCATATAGTTATAGGAGGACGACCAGAAGCGTTTGAAGCGTTAGTTTTTACAACCCACTAAATCAAATGAG